AACATCTGAAATATGCTTATTCAATGATTGTACATTATGAAAGATAATGGAAAATTTTTTCTCTTCAGATTCTTCAGGAAATGCAAGCGAAAATTTCAGCATTCGCTCGGATCTCATAGTTTTGAACATCAACGTCACTGCATCATTACGTTCAGGTGGTTTCGGTGGAACGAAGCCTCCAATTAAGTATAAACCACTTGCTTTTATTGCACGACTACAAGCAACATATAATTCAGATCTTGTCATTCCCTTCTTCAAATTGACAACAACCTTTTCGTAAGTACCGCCTTGACTTTTGTATATGGTCATAGCTTCACAAGGTACTATTGGAAACTGCTTCCGTTCTACTTTGAAGTTTGTTGACTTCGTATTTATTTGACGTATTACTGGTTCGATTGGTGTAAGACTAGAATCAATATTTCTATTACGCATTACATTGTGAAAATTGACTCTAGCTTTTCTTCCAGTTTTTTCTTCATTGAATTTAATCCATATTCTACATGGTACTGTTTCATTAGTTTTTTGAAGTTTTCCGTAATCAATCATTACTAATTTTCCACAAGCACCATTGACTAATCCATCTTCAGTATCAGAATTGACTGTCAACATATACTTAGCGCCCACTTTCAAATCGATTTTAAGTGGTAAGCCATAAGTTTCAGTTGTTTTGAGATTCTTTACGTTGTTCAACACTTTTTCTTTTAATGATGCAAGTCCATCACCAATACAAAAGTCATATGCATTGGCAGTTGCACCTTCAGTATTAAGATTAGCCAATACTTTTGTATTGTATGCATCAACTTCAGCATTGCTTCTGAATATCCTTATGGCATCTTCAATCGTTTCCAAATTCTCAGTTGAAAGAATTCGTGACTTTAACAGATGAATATCTTCATCTGTCATTGTTCCTTTAGCTATATTACTTAATGCAATGGCAAAAGTCTTATCATCCCTTTGTCTCATAATTTCTGTTAATTCAAACAATTCAAATAATGACCATAATGGACTATCTACTAAAGCATTATATGAATTATTAAACTGAAATATGTATTTATCACCAACTGGTCTTAATTGATTGAAATCGCCTAAAACTATGACTGATATTCCACCAAATGGTTTCTTTGTTCTCATTATTTGCTGCAAACGTGCATCGACTTGTTGAAACATTGTAAAACCAACCATTGATATTTCGTCTATTATTAATAATTGTAAGTCTTTTAATTTGACTCCAATTCTATTCGAAACATCGCTATTTAGTTGAACAAGCTTATGTTTGCATTGATTTACTGGTAAACTTAAAAATGAATGCAAAGTCATTCCATCAATTAATGCTGCTGCTTTGCCAGTTGGTGCACATAGTGCAGCCCGAATACTATCTGGATAATATCCCGGAAGTGAATTATAAAATCTTAGTATTGATTGATACACTGCTTTGATTAGAGTGCTTTTGCCAACACCTGCGCCTCCATTGATGAAATGAAAAAATTGATTTTCACCATTTTTAATCAAATTCATTACGTTTAGAGTATATTTCCTTTGATTACTATTAAGATTTCTCATCATTTGTTGATATTCTGTGTCTGGTATTATTTTGGGAACATTAAAGTGTTCGACTTTTTCAGTTCGAGTATTTATTCCCATTTCAACAAAAATATCACCTTCAGTATTTCCTATTTCATAAATGAGAAATTCATTTTTATCTTGATTGTATTCAATATTTGCATCATCAATATCATCTTCATCTTCTTTTTTTTCCATATGTTCTTCTAAAGCTTGTTCGAATTCATTAGCTTCACGATGAATATATTCAGATCTTTTTTGTTGAATTATA